ATAGCTGAGCAGCTCTTTAAAAAAAACCCCAACAAAACAAAACACCAAACAACCAATACAGCAAATTAATTCCTGCTAAAACAAAAGTTAGAGATTAGATTCCATTATGCACAAAAAAAAATTCCAGTCATCTGCAGAAACCAGATAGGCTAAGCTCCAACTGTTTAGGACTCAAGACAGCCTTTAATTCTTAAAAATCTGATAGCTAGAAGTGATGAACAACTTAAAAATAGAACTGCAGTAGTTCGTACCTAGAAACCTAAAATTTTAGGGTCATGTTAATTCAAGCTGAAGTAGTCCAAAAAGTGTGAAAAACAACATACTAATTGAAAAGCCAACTTCAGTTAAGATTATGAAATAAAAGTTTGTGTTCGTAACTACATCATATTTCAATAATGTCATAAGTCACAGTCCTGTCAATCTCTGAAAAGCCATGCAAACTTTCCTCTTGCTTACATACCGTGCAAAAATATAGCAAAAATGCAGAAACACAATGACAGTTGCTGAACATTTTTCCATACAAATTGTCTGAACTGACAAATGAGAACTGGTGGAAGGTTTTAGAGTCAATCTGTTCCTTAAGTCAATCTGTTCTTTAAGTAATTCTTCTGAAATGCTGTTTTTCCTTCACTTCTTTTTTTTTAGTAACCATATCACAAAATTAAGCAAAACTGGACCTTATTGTTTCAGCCACTTTACTCATGGTAAAAGACAAACCTTTCTCACAGAGTCAGGTCTGCCAACTTTGAATGTTATGACCTATCTACATAGCCTGAAGAAAGACTTAAATGTCTACTAATTCAAACTTGTTGGAAGCTTGTAATTATTTCTTTTGAGAGATTTTAAATCTTGGAGAAGCATTTGTTCAAGGACAAGACTGAGGCCTAACTACAGTCAGAAACTACACTCTTCTAGATACGTACAGAATTCTAAATAAATACAATTGTGAGAGCAGATTCATCTTTCATTCAGAAGGAGGACAGATAAATAAGAATAGTTAACTAAAACAGGGATAGCTAGAAGATGACTGAGACTAATAGATTGGATCACCGAGAAACTTGAATATAGGAATGCCTAGTGTTATCACACATGACTAGTTGCCTTGCTCTAGAGCAATCTTCACAATGTTGAGGGAGGTGCCCAGTCCTACTCGCAGCTAAACATTTCAGAACAGTCTTCCCAGTACAATGGTGCAGAATAAAAAAAAAAAAACAGATTTGTTAAAACTACTGTGAAATAACTATATTGGTACATATTACATTTTACCACTGTCAAGAACTTAAATACGTTATTCCAAGATGCAGAAAAGTATATACTTGAACTCTGGATATACACAGACTTACTGTTTCTAGCAGCTGGTACCCAAGCCTGATTCTTCAAAAACATGAAAAACTGGAGAGAATATTGTCAATAGCATACAAAAGCTTAAGATTTAAAACAACTCACTTGGTTATTGGAGAGCGGTGATGGGAAGTGATGAGTGTGTAAATTTTTCCCTGTGTTCACATGGGTAAGTCGTATAGCTTGCCCGCATTTCACTGGTGTCCCACGTTGGCAACTGCCATCACTCTTCCCACGAATCCGCCAGTAACTGTTAGCATCATCTGAAGCTTCAACTCCTGTCACTGACTGCTGCCCGCTTCCTGTTTGAATATAATTAAATGGCAGGAGACTTAACCCACTTCCCCAGTTGAAAAAGTCCTGAAAGCACTAAAAAAAATATGCTTTAATGTTCTCATGCCTTCATATTTAAGAGATGCTTCATTCTCACAGTGACCGCAATGGGAATGCAGGTACCAAATAATCTTTCAGATTAAAGAAGTTAAACACAGCATAAGTTACTAGACACAAACTGTCAAAGTTCATGGCGAACACACGAGAAGAAAATCCGATCCATGATGGGTACTATCCACACCATCCTGCCCTTCTCAGAAATACTTGCCAGAACAGACACTGGGAAGGTACTGCTGAGGCCCTAGACACAGGACAGGGCTCACCTCGGGAATGAGGGAAAAGCATCCCTGTGACATCCCCACTCCAGGACCTGTGGAGCACAGCTGTAACGTCTTCCTGTACCCCAGGCCTCAGCATCCTCCTCTCCCTGCCAGGCCGCCAGGCCTCCAGCGCACCCCACAGCCCCATCCCTGGTCAGCTGCTCTCT